ATAAACATTGTTTGACGTGGAAAAGTTTTGCCTCATGCCTTTCTTAAACTTTCCAAGTTCCTTGGTATTTCTGTGTGCGAAATAAACGAGGTTTATGTGATAAACAATACACAGTAAGAGTCTTTTTATTACTACAGTAAATGCAGTAATCACGTTTATCATAAACATTGTTTGACGTGGAAAAGTTTTGCCTCATGCCTTTCTTAAACTTTCCAAGTTCCTTGGTATTTCTGTGTGCGAAATAAACGAGGTTTATGTGATAAACAATACACAGTAAGAGTCTTTTTATTACTACAGTAAATGCAGTAATCACGTTTATCATAAACATTGTTTGACGTGGAAAAGTTTTGCCTCATGCCTTTCTTAAACTTTCCAAGTTCCTTGGTATTTCTGTGTGCGAAATAAACGAGGTTTATGTGATAAACAATACACAGTAAGAGTCTTTTTATTACTACAGTAAATGCAGTAATCACGTTTATCATAAACATTGTTTGACGTGGAAAAGTTTTGCCTCATGCCTTTCTTAAACTTTCCAAGTTCCTTGGTATTTCTGTGTTGCGTTTCATGTCAACAGAACGCTTGAAAACGCGTTATGATATCAAATCCGGATTCCCAGCAGCCACGGATTTAAATTTCATCCAGTTGAGTGAAAGTGATTAGATTTACAACATTTTATTCAATTATAGATGGTAGAATACGTACTGCTTAGGCAAAGTACGGTAGAATACGTACTGCTTAGGCAAACTACATCTTATCTTCTGTTTGTTAAAAAAACACGTTTCTACTGTTTAGAATATCTTTTCATACGCACTTGTAAATACAGAAAGTTTTTTTCTGTAGTTATGATTATTTTCCGTAGATGGTATTATTTTCTTCGTGCAAACTTACACAAAGGGTTATTCGAATATAATCCATTTATAACTGATTTCTGACAATAAATCCAACCTTTAAAATAAACATATATTGACAAAAAAAATATGCAAGAATCAACCAGGTATCCTGAAATTTAAACTACGCCTTACAATTTTTTTTTGTACAAAGCCTTTAACTGAAAGCTTAAAACGTTTTTAACCCTTTTTTTTTCTGTGAAAACCACGATCTATACTTCGAGCATCTATCACAGCGACTATCAGTACGATTGTTAGTTTAGTTTCAAAGCGTTTTAGAGCGCCATTTATGGTGTTAATCAAAAGAGCCAAATTTCAACAGGTTAAACAGGTAGGTTTTAGAAAGTGTGAGAGTGACTGTTTTGAATGATGTAGAATGTCGTAATAGAAATGCATAAAATGAATATGATTTGTACCTTAAGTGACAAAATAAATTCCCGAGGCACTGTTTCTTTCATACTCCTCACTATATCTTTTTGGAGTCAAACATTTCTATTTCATATTCTGTATTTTAGGAGTACCTTTCTAATGTTTTGTTTTAGGATAATCGTTTGATGTGTGTGTGTTGTTGATGTGTACTTTTCTTTAAAGATTCTCGAAATTTCCATATATTTCTGAATATTTTGTGTGCTGTTAGTTCCATTTCTTCAAAGCATTTGTTCTGAAGAGATGACTTTATACTATAAACTGTTTTGTTTTTTCTTCGTAAAATTCAGAGTTAATGAGTTTGTAACACATCATGTAAAACATTAAAGTTTGCGTTACACCAAGTTTGTTATTAACATCTGACAGGCAATCATTGTTATAACTTTATTCAATCTCGAAAGTCGACATTTTCCAATAGTAACATACGTAAAAAAATCAATTCCTCAAAGCTTTAATCAAGCAGAATGAATTTATAATGCATAATGATTGCTCTAGAAGTTCGCGTGTGGAATTATTACTTTAACTGTAAACGCAAAAAAAACTAATAAAAGCAATAACCTCTATAGAGCATTATTACTTAATATTGTTTCTAGAAATTTCGCCAGGCTTTCAGATATCTGGAAATTCCAGATTGATGATATATCGTGAGTTATTGGCAAGTGACTGGAGTGAAATATCCCACACTTGGTATTTTGTTTGTATCAAGGATTGTCTGAAGATAACCGAAATTCTAGACCCAGTGGCACAGCGGTATGTCTGTGGACTTACAACGCTAGAATCCTGGTTTCGATACCCGTGGTGGGCAGAGCACAGGTAGCCCATTGTGTAGCTTTGTGCTTAATTACAAACAAACAATGAGTTGCACGATGGATTGTTGGCCGATAAATGAATTGCAAAATTCTCGTGATAAGAATGCGTCACAATTATCTGAATTGTATGCATAGTAACAGTAGTGCAAGTGGATTGTTGAAGGATTTTCACATTTCAAGAAGTATGCAACACAGTTTATGATAATCTGAGCTATTAAACATCTTAGCTATTACCACATGAGAACAATGTTAAAGACGTCACAGTCTGACAGTGTGCTGTTATCTGTTACAAGCAATCGGATCAACTGAGAGTTGCAAAACTTCAAAATAATTCTGTGGTGAGTTTATTTGTCTTGCCCTGATCAACTAGACTACGAGAGTTTCAGAATGACATGATGTGATAGTTCGTACTATTTACGAGAGTTTCATGTTGACCTAATGTAATGGTAAATACAGTTGATCAACAGAATGGCGTAGCCTATTCTTTATAGGTTCTTCAATGTTATTGGTTAAAATATCTATGAAAATTACTTGTTTGTTTATTATCATCATTATTAATTTTCACATTAATGAAGATTGTTTTTGGATTGTTGCATTAGCATACGAATTTAGAATAAATTTAATATTACTAAGCTGGCCAAACTTTATTAAATGTTATTGGGATTATGGCCGAAAATGTCGTTAAACGGTGTCCAATTGATAAATCAATGCTTTACAGGCTTATGTTTTATTTTGTGTTAATTTACATTATATATTTCTTTTGTCAGTCTATTAAACATAATTTGTTTTATTAACTTATTAGCATTTCAACCGTGATCTATATAGTTAACTTCCCTTTAGACGAAGTTATTAATAATTAAAAACTATAATTGCTTTACTTTTTATGTTTTAATTATTCATATGAAGTAGCCGAGATACTAAACTTACCGACAGAATAATGTTGACATATATAACGCAAGTTAATAATCAACACTAACTGCAGAGAAAGATCTCAAAACATTACAATCTGACATCTGCTTTTAACAGATTACAGTCTTCTTGTTGCTGAGAAAGGCATTGTTACATCGACCTTCCCGTTAGACGTTGTTAATTATAAAAAAAATAGAACCATTTCAAACAAGTTGTACTGTGAAGAAACAAGAAAAATAACTTACAAGCTTTCACTCGTACGTGTCGACTAATAATATTTCCTACGGTATTTGATACAACGCATCGATAGATGGCGTCGTGTACGTCCTGTTGATACTCCTCTGCTCGAAAAGGATGGAAAACGAGTGATCCATCCGGCTGTAAATGACGCAATCCTGCAACATCACGTGCTTGTGATCCATCTTGCAAGTCCCATTTTAGAAAAGGAATAGGGTTTCCTTCGGCTTTACAAGGAACTATAGCTCCACTGCTATTATCGAATTCTACCAACGCCGGGGGTTCCTCAAGGAACCGTGGTCCTCGACTTGATTCTTGAGACGAAGCCTCAGAAAATCCTGAAATAAGATAAAATTACTTAGTGAACAGTTGGTGAATATAACAGTGGTGTTTTTTTTTTCTGTATAGGAAAGAGCTTCATCATCGCTTAGCAACAAACCAAAACTTTTTTGTGTGTTTGCAAATTTCTTTGATGTTGGTCACGTACCTAGTAATAAAAAACTAAGGTAAAAAAAAGAAAAAGAAGAAGAAAAATACATCCGGAAAAACAAGTTAACGAATCCTGATAAGAAACCGCTGTGCGATTAAGTTAGAATAACAAACACAGAACAACAGAAACGTAATAAGTGCTTTCAAATAGGTTCTTTATCAAAACTGAAACCACTAAAACTTTTCTACTTGATTAAAAACATTAAAAGGAATTATTTCGGTATACAGTCATTATTATGTAAAAGCTTTTGAACATCCTAGGTCTGAAAGACATTATATAAATATGTAATCATGTGGTTTTTACACACATTTAGTACAACATTTATTGATCTGAACAATACAATTTACAGAAAAAAAAACAGTTTCTACCTCAAGATAGTTTCGTTGAAATCTATTTTATATACATAAACTTTTAAGAAATACAACAAGATGACTTCCATATCTCCACATGGATAGCTTGTGACTTTCATAATCACAAATAAATGGCTATTTTAGTTGTTACGGTTGTCAGTTCAGAGTAAACCTTAACCTGAGTGAATCGAACCCTTAATACCAAAGGTATACTAAATAGAAATAAGTCATTCTTTGTTTTGAAATTTTTATGGCAAATGATATGAACAGAGGAGATAAAAGTTCCCAACTTAATAGATCATGCTAAAATATGGCGGGTTGTTGTAAGCTGTTTGAATGGAAAAAACAACCCGCCATATTTTAGCATGATCTATTAAGTTGCTTTCCATTCAAACAGTTTACAACAACCCGCCATATTTTAGCATTATCTATAAAGTTGTTTTCCATTCAAACAGCTTACAACAACCTGCCATATTTTAGCATGATATATTAAGTTGCTTTCCATTCAAACAGTTTACAACAACCCGCCATATTTTAGCATTATCTATAAAGTTGTTTTCCATTCAAACAGCTTACAACAACCTGCCATATTTTAGCATGATATATTAAGTTGCTTTCCATTCAAACAGTTTACAACAACCCGCCATATTTTAGCATTATCTATAAAGTTGTTTTCCATTCAAACAGCTTACAACAACCTGCCATATTTTCGCATGATATATTAAGTTGCTTTCCATTCAAACAGTTTACAACAACCCGCCATATTTTAGCATTATCTATAAAG